CGAATACGACGAAGATGAAAAATAATTTGCCGGTGTCTCTCGTGACTGAAGAGCAAAAAAAGCAAACGTCGCAAGAACGTAGGATTTTTATCCGAATCGGTCAACGAGATAAGGGGCAGCGGAGTAACGCGTAATTTATCAAGCTGACACCCGGTGTCGAGTGTTAATTATACGCGACGCATCAATCCTGCGAGTTTATTCAGCGCTGCCGTCGGAAACTGCGCGACACACTGCGCGAGATGATGGTCGTTAAATTGTTACGCTCTGTCATCTGGAAAGGAAGATGCGGGTGTCGCCGCTGCTACCAAGATAGAGTACGACCTTAATATATTTTCAATACGTCAAGCCGTGTCTGAGAGGGAGAGAGAGAGAAGCAAACACGTCGATGCGAAACGTTCACAACGCGGTGGAAAGAGATTTCGAGTTTGCCGAAACGATTTAGCAACGAAGAAAAAGTTCCGTCGCGTCCGGTGCAACGTATCGGGGAAAGAATCGATTTAAAACTAAACGTGATCTAAACGTGGTATCCGTGGTTCCGTCGAATTCTTTTCGAACCGACTCGGGGCTCGAATACGAACGCTCCCGAAGATAGACGCGAATAGGAATCGGACCATTTCTCGCGCCGAAAGGACACTTCCAGACGATTTACGAGTCGATTAGCATGGTAATATGCGATTTACATCCGAAGAAGCCTCGACCAGACGAGTATTTTTATTCTTCTCGGCCGAACACGACCCGTCGAGACGCGTCGTGACTAAATTTGCGAATGATCCTTGCCAGGACTCTCGACCGAGACTCGTCCTAATAGGAAAGGAAGCGCGGAACAGGTTGCGGCGTCTCGTCATCGAATAAAGGAAAAAAAAAAAGATCGTTCGATCCGTTTTGCTCGTCGAGAAGCCCGGGGAAGGATGTGTATCACACGGGGAGAAGCGGAGAGATAAAACTTGATATGAAAAAATGATATGCCAAGTCATGCGTTCGAAGATAACGAGAAAGCACTCGTCGATAATCGATAAAAGAAAAAAAAAAAAAAAAAAAGCTGCAAAAGGAAAAATAAAAAGAAGAGAAGAAACGAGAGGAGGGAGGGAAGATACGATAAATAATCGAGCTGTGCTGTAGAGCAGACGCTACAGTGTAATTACAGGGTCAACGGGCCAAGGAAAACGTCATCCAGCTACTCTCAAGTCGAGGTCATCGCCTTTGAGTACTAGCCAAAGAATTTTCGATCTCCCACCGTGGCTGACTTCTGTTCCCGACACGGTTCCCTAACTCGAGACAAGAAAAAACGGGGCAAAAATTCGCGGCCAGCTGCTCCCCCTTTGCCTTCGTTTCCCATCGTCGAGGCTCATCGGCTTTCGACGTTCTATCTACTTCGCCGAACAACGAAATTCTAACGAAAAAGTAAATAATTAATTTTAGGAATAAAAATGCAAATTTGGAATTTCGAAGGGAATACGAAAGAAGAGACAACTTAAAAAAAAAAAAAAATCCACTTACCATCAGCTTATCCCGATCGAGGAAAGGAAGATCGCTCCCCTTGATGTCTTTAGACTTGAAAACATCCGCATAGCGGTAGAGATTTAGGGCAGCCATCCACTCAACAACGTTTAGAGACGTCCACTCGTTCACGGGCTGTTGGAAGAAACGTCGCACAGGTCAAACGGTTATTTTCAGATACCAGAAGCTCGGTAGAGACAATTCAGGTGCGAAACGAAGGGAATCTCTCAGGCCGTTGTGGTCCACGACGAACGCTCGCTGATATTAATTAATCGGCTTTCTCGCGAATCGAATTACGTAAAGTTCCCCGGTAATCATTAGCTGCAAAATTCCGCGCCGATAAATCTCGATGACGCGTTTCGCTGCCATTAAAAAAAAAAAAAAAAAAAAAAAAAAGAAAAAAGAAAGATTCGCTTGGCCAAGAATTCTTGTGTAAACTGAGTGAATTTTGCATAAAAATTCCGACCATTACCATGCCGTTAGTCATAAATGTTAAATTGCTCGTAAAATTGCTCAAAAAATTGTCAACGTGTTTTTAGTCCGAGATAATAATTAACCTCTGTAACTGGAATTTCAACGAAAACAAGAAAAAAGTTACCCATTGAAACTTTTTTTTTTATCTTCGTAAGTTAAAAAACACGAGAGGAATAGTTGTTATCACATGAATAAATATGAATAAACGATTGAAACGTTAGTGCAATAATAAAATGATAGACTTGACAGTCAGTTTAATCGTTCGATTTCTGATGCGAGTCGCATGCCCTGGCATTGAGACATTAAAAAATTTTCAGAAAAGAAAACTAATTGATTTAAACTTTAAAAGAATATGTACGTATGTCGACAGGGGTTTAATTTAAGAACTTTACAACTTTTTTGTCTCTCATACACTGATCATACGAGGGAACACTGGCGTAAGTAGATTCGTCCGTTCTATGATCAGACGCGACGACAGATGATGCGACCAGAAACTCAGATTACTTAGAAAGAAAGTTAGACTAGCGCAATGGAGAGAAGACGAGAGAAGAATCAGTACCAATATCGACTGTTCCTGTAAAGCGAAAGCTTAAAAATCAAAGGGAAAAGGAAACATAACTTTAAGTCGACGACGACACGAACGGTGATAACGAAGCCTATCACCTACTCGAAAACAGAGAGACTCTCCTGTAAATATTCCCTTGATAGGTACGTTTCGTACGATCGTCGCGTAAACCTAATTTTCATCGTTTATTCGTCAAGTCGTTTAGAGCTACGTAATCTTAATCGGATTTAAACGATAAACGATGATGAAACGATGTAGAAACAAGGAGCGCGTTTTGTTTCGTCCCGAGGGAAATGTGAATCTTAAGATGAGGCACAATTTGCATGTGCACGATTAATAGAACAAACACGTCTTTTCTTTGGCCTTGGCGGTAGGTTGGAAATTACGTTCGCTGGATATGAACACAGCTTTATTGACGTGTTGCCATTCGCGTATTCACCTGGTTTCGCAAACAGACAAATTGCCGGGAAACGTGTGTGTACATATCATTATGTAATTAACCGTGAAGATTAGATCGTTCCTAAGCGTTCACCACCGTCTTCGCATGGATAGTTATAGTAGATAAATCCTAGTGACGACGAAAATCATTGATAAAAAAAAAAAAAAAAA